TCTCTCTAGAGTTTCGGGTAACTGATCAAGTTACGGCGCCTTGTAGTCTTGGCACCTAGGTAGTCAAATGCCTAGGTTACAAGGTGTTGAACGAGAGAGGTTGCCTTAGGAACTCTGGAGGTGCTCTAGAATAGTTAGCTAACTGGAGACGGGATAACGGACTAGAGAGAGCTGTTTCCCCCGGCTTCGTTAGTTAAATGGGGGTGGAATAATGGACAAGATAGAGTTATTTTCCCCACCCCCCGTTACAATGATGGCAGCGGTGTTGAACAATGTTTAAGGTATTGGTGTTCTTTTGAACATTGTTCAGTCCCACGTGTCCTTTTGCCGCTCAGGCGCTATCAGGGAGATCTTGACAGGTGTTTATTATTCGCGATTTTGCGAGTTTTCAGGTTAGGAGATAGTGATTCTCTGGTGTTGTGGTTTAGTGATTGTGAGTTTTGTGGTGTTCAGGGAATGTTCACCAGAACTTGTGTGTGTAGTGATTTATGTTAGTAATAAGATTTGGCGATTTGGGAACTTAGCGGTGTTGGTAGTGCAGGTCAGCTGAGTGTGACAGGTGACCTCGCATGTCCCACGGGGGACACCCAGCCACCGCTGGTCTCCAGGTCAGTGGGGAGTGGCAGGTGTAGTTTTTAAGTAGTGGTTCTGCTCAGATTATTGCGATCGACTGTTTTACTCCATTTGAACGCAATAACCCGAGGTGTACTGGTCTTGTACAGCATGCTAGGGGGAGCCTTAGTATGTCAGTAGACTTCACGTTGGGGACGCTCGACGTTAGATAGTCTGGTCACAGGGGTGGCAACAGTTTGGAGTTGTTGACCGGCGGAGATGCTAGGGAGACACTCTGGGTCACGTAGGTGGCTGTAGGTTAAGGGTGGGAGTAACGGCGGTTTATGTACTTAAGATTAGGAACGGTACAGTTAAGTTTAGGCTAGCGTTTTGTCTATTAGTTTTGATTTTTTTTTTGTGACAAGTTAAAAGTAGTGATGACCTTATTCTCTCTTCTCTAACTTTCCTCTGTTACTGTCTTATGTTCCACCAAGTCAGTATCATTCAGTGTTAATTGGATTATTTTAAAAAAATTAAGTGTAGTTGTTGCCAGGAGGAGAGCGGTATAACTGGACTGTGTAAACCCTATACAAACTACAGGGTCACACAACAGCATGGAACACGGGTATTGTCGCCTTTATGTTCAATTCACAGGTGGGAGCCAGAGGAGAGGCGCGACGCATATACAGAAGAGGGAGACGGCTGCTGTGTACCACACTCAGGAGCGTTTATCACCACCACCACGACCAGCCCACTACCTGGAGGTCATGGCTTCACCACCACCACCACCCCAGGGGACCCCAAGATGCAGCCCTCTCGGTCGGTCAACATTGGTCTACCCATTGGACCCCAAGACGGACGGACCCCAGCGGACCCCCAGTGGACCCCAGGTCGTTCTGCAGACGACCCCAGACGACCCAGTAAAGATGGAAGAGGAGCAACAACGACTCCAGTCTGTCCCACCAACATCGGTCTACCCAGGATGGACCCCAGGACGGACAGACCCCAATGGACCCCAGGTCGCTTGTCAAAGACCCATGGGAGAAAGAAGAGAGAAGAAAGAAGGGAGAAGAAAGAAGAGAGAAGAAGGAAGAGAGAAGAAGGAAGAGAGAAGAAGGAAGAGAGAAGAAAGAAGAAAGAAGAAAGAAGAAGAAGAAGATAAGACAAGCTGAGTGAGACACGATGCCTCGTGTCCCTTGCTGGTGTCAGCATCATTGCATGGAGCGTAATCGCAAGACAGGATCGTTTGCCTTAACTGGCCGCCCCTCCTACAAGCAGGTAGCTCTGTTGAGTGATTCTTCCTGTGTCGTGCGGACTTGATGTGGCTGTCAGAAGTAGCTCTCTGAAGGAGGCGTGCTGGAGCAACAGGGAGGAGAAGAGTAGGATGGGATTTCTACTGTTGGCAACTATATGAAGGTCTCGAAACTTGTAGTCCCTATAGCTGTGAAGAACCCCAATATACGTCTCTCATGGTGACTGACGTAGGGCCAATTACAGATCAGCTGGGACAACCGAATTCCACGGTCCTGTGCGCAGTTCAAGTAGTAACGGCTTTCGGGTTGACCAAGTGTTGTTGTGCGTTAACGACGGAGAAGCGACGGAGGCAGTTGTGTTGAAGAAATGTGGTACAGGATTATCTACAAGACCAAGCAGTGACGTCGCCCAGCCAGAGACAATGGACGTCTGTCTACATATTTCATTTTTTTAGAGTAGGATGATGTATATTTGTTTAGCTAGGATGTATTTTTTTTTTTTCGTTAATAAAGTTGTTGCACACAGCTAGCTTGCTTTAGCAGTGTTGCAAAAAACTTTATTTCGGGGAGAAGGGGAGATGTAACACTGTAAAAGTGTTTGGGTTAGGTTATTTAAAATATATATAGAGTACATGAGTCACAGACAGGGATTTGGAAAGGCGCCAAGTTGTCGGCGGAGATCTCACACCTCTAACCGTTAATGACCTCAAGTGACCTGAGGTCAGATCATGAGAATTTCACCTTGCTTCCGCTAAGCTCTTAATTGTAGTCTGGTAGCCTTCAAACAAGCCGACGTTTAAGGAGTGGCTTGGTAGTGCCGGAGGCTATCTATTTGTGGGCGGAGTTAGCTACTAGGTTCCCCAATATAAACTCGGAGAGCTATCCAGAAAAGAGCATTAACAGACAGAGCAGCAGACGAGCCAGGAGAGCAGAGAGAAGACAGCCCTATCAGGGAGGCTGTCGGCCGGCAGGGCGGGAGTCTCTGTCAACTACAGACCCCCCCCCCCTCTCTATCCAGCTATAGGCAGAGACACTTGGTGAGTTGAGCATTGAGGTGACTTGGTCGTGTTTACATATGTTGTGTGATGATCAGGGGCAGTCAAGTTGTAGGGTTCTCGAATTCTTGGATGATGACTCTCTTTAACATTTGAATTGGATTGCTTATATTATGATACTTCATGTGAAATATAATTATGAATTTATTATTTAAATTGTGTTTAACTTTGTGCCCTAGAGCTTTGAGTTGAGGATTTGAGAAAGCCTCAGTGGTTACTGGGTTCATGATATAAATGAGTACATGTTTGGAGTTGATACATGGTAATAACATCTTTTGAGAATATTTTGATACAGGCAAGTTCCATTCCTTGTCTTGTATGTAATGATCATGAATGGATGGTGGCAGCATTTCGTCTTCTACTATCTACTCTTCTACTTCTACTATCTACTCTTCTCCTTCTACCTATCTACACCTCTCCCTCCACCCCTCTCTAAACTCTCACTTTCAACTAATGACCCTCCTCGCTCCTCCCACCTCTCTCCCTCTCACCCCAAACCCTCACTAATTACTTCACTATTCATTTCTTTCCTTTCGTTTTCTCTTATACGTTTGTGGCAATGATTCTGTATTCTAGAGTTCTCTCTAGAGTTTCGGGTAACTGATCAAGTTACGGCGCCTTGTAGTCTTGGCACCTAGGTAGTCAAATGCCTAGGTTACAAGGTGTTGAACGAGAGAGGTTGCCTTAGGAACTCTGGAGGTGCTCTAGAATAGTTAGCTAACTGGAGACGGGATAACGGACTAGAGAGAGCTGTTTCCCCCGGCTTCGTTAGTTAAATGGGGGTGGAATAATGGACAAGATAGAGTTATTTTCCCCACCCCCCGTTACAGAGGTGGGGGTGAGGCAGGGCAGGCTTGAGGTGGGGGGTGAGGCAGGGCAGGCTTGAGGTGGGGGTGAGGCAGGGCAGGCTTGAGGTGGGGGTGAGGCAGGGCAGGCTTGAGGTGGGGGGTGAGGCAGGGCAGGCTTGAGGTGGGGGTGAGGCAGGGCAGGCTTGAGGTGAAGGTGAGGCAGGGCAGGCTTGAGGTGGGGGTGAGGCAGGGCAGGCTTGAGGTGGGGGGTGAGGCAGGGCAGGCTTGAGGTGGGGGTGAGGCAGGGCAGGCTTGAGGTGGGGGGTGAGGCAGGGCAGGCTTGAGGTGGGGGTGAGGCAGGGCAGGCTTGAGGTGGGGGTGAGGCAGGGCAGGCTTGAGGTGGGGGTGAGGCAGGGCAGGCTTGAGGTGGGGGGTGAGGCAGGGCAGGCTTGAGGTGGGGGTGAGGCAGGGCAGGCTTGAGGTGGGGGTGAGGCAGGGCAGGCTTGAGGTGGGGGTGAGGCAGGGCAGGCTTGAGGTGGGGGTGAGGCAGGGCAGGCTTGAGGTGGGGGTGAGGCAGGGCAGGCTTGAGGTGGGGGGTGAGGCAGGGCAGGCTTGAGGTGGGGGTGAGGCAGGGCAGGCTTGAGGTGGGGGTGAGGCAGGGCAGGCTTGAGGTGGGGGGTGAGGCAGGGCAGGCTTGAGGTGGGGGTGAGGCAGGGCAGGCTTGAGGTGGGGGTGAGGCAGGGCAGGCTTGAGGTGGGGGTGAGGCAGGCAGGCTTGAGGTGGGGGTGAGGCAGGGCAGGCTTGAGGTGGGGGGTGAGGCAGGGCAGGCTTGAGGTGGGGGTGAGGCAGGGCAGGCTTGAGGTGGGGGTGAGGCAGGGCAGGCTTGAGGTGGGGGTGAGGCAGGGCAGGCTTGAGGTGGGGGTGAGGCAGGGCAGGCTTGAGGTGGGGGTGAGGCAGGGCAGGCTTGAGGTGGGGGTGAGGCAGGGCAGGCTTGAGGTGGGGGTGAGGCAGGGCAGGCTTGAGGTGGGGGTGAGGCAGGGCAGGCTTGAGGTGGGGGTGAGGCAGGGCAGGCTTGAGGTGGGGGTGAGGCAGGGCAGGCTTGAGGTGGGGGTGAGGCAGGGCAGGCTTGAGGTGGGGGTGAGGCAGGGCAGGGGTGGGGGTGAGGCAGGGCAGGCTTGAGGTGGGGGGTGAGGCAGGGCAGGCTTGAGGTTGGGGTGGTAATAATGTGTTGTAGGAGCCGCGGGACAGGGCACGTGGATGTGGTCACCCAGCATCACCCAGGCTGACCACACCACCACCACGCCCCACTACCTGTTTCTGTCTCGGCTGCCATACCGTCTCGGCTGCCATACCGTCTCGGCTGCTGTACCGTCTCGGCTGCTGTACCGTCTCGGCTGCTGTACCGTCTCGGCTGCTGTACCGTCTCGGCTGCTGTACCGTCTCGGCTGCCATACCGTCTCGGCTGCCATACCGTCTCGGCTGCCATACCGTCTCGGCTGCTATACCGTCTCGGCTGCTGTACCGTCTCGGCTGCCATACCGTCTCGGCTGCTATACCGTCTCGGCTGCTGTACCGTCTCGGCTGCTGTACCGTCTCGGCTGCTGTACCGTCTCGGCTGCTATACCGTCTCGGCTGCTATACCGTCTCGGCTGCTGTACCGTCTCGGCTGCTACTGAAGCTAGAGACGTCACTCGTTTTCCATAGTTCAAGGTATTATGCCTGCTTGAGATAACTAGCAAACGGCAGGCTTGAGTTGTAAACAAACCCCCACTGACAACTGATGTCTTGCCTTTGACAACAGGAGTCGAACGACGCTACACATGCATAAGGTGACCTGTGCGACCAATAACCGTCCTCTGAGGGGTCCGTATACCACTGAGAGTGACCATCTCCACACATCCCAGCCACCTTCAAGGTTACCTTGAGGTGCTTCCGGGGCTTACCGTTCCCGCGGCCCGGTCGTCGACCAGGCCTCCTGGTTGCTGGACTGATCACATGACCACAGACAAACTCTCTGGACAACATTGCGGTACCAGACCCACCAACACCTGTAAATATACCCTCATATGTTTGGATTAATGGTGGGCTGAATGAAGCCCACCTCGACCCACCCTCCACCCAAAATGGGGCCCACCACACACATCCTTCCCCCCCTATTGTTGACCAGACCACACACTAGAAGGTGAAGGGACGACTACGTTTCGGTCCGTCCTGGACCATTCTCAAGTCGATTTCCTCCCCTATTACCCAGGGTGAGGGGAAACGGGGTGGTGGGTTTCGCGAGGGCAAGTGTGTGGGGGAAGGAGGAAATAACCCAGCGTCATATTTGGCGGCCGTGGTCACCACAAGGGACCGGAAGACGACAATTGTCACTTGCCTGCGGAGCGTGTTGACGCCTGCTGGCTTGAAGGGAGAGCAGCGGGGGGTGGGGGGAGGAAGAGGAGATGGCGGGAAGGGGAAGAGAAGGAAGAGGAGATGGCGGGAAGGGGAAGAGAAGGAAGAGGAGATGGCGGGAAGGGGAAGAGAAGGAAGAGGAGATGGCGGGAAGGGGAAGAGAAGGGGATAGTTAGCGAGAAAAGTAACTAGAGATATGGAAAGGGAAGGAGAGTAAAGAATGGGAAGGAACGTGTAGGGAAGGCAGCCTAGGAGAACCAAAACAGAGACGTGAATTAAGTTAGAAAACCGGTTTCTAGAAGCCCAACTGGCTGCCCAAAAAAAATCAAAATGCGTCCGAGGGGAGTGTCCACACAGATCAAATTTTCCAAACCGGTTCTGTCCTTGGCTGACTTATACAGGGCAACACACACCCATTCAAGTTCTATATCAACATGACCCGGACGACAGAACCGCTGCAGCTGTGGTCAAAGTTGACTCATAACAACCTGACCTAATCACCCCTGGCCACTTGTACCAGTCCTGGGGCCAGATTCACGAAGCAGTTACGCAAGTACTCACGAACGTGTACATCTTTCCTCAACGGCTTTGGCTACATTTATTAAACAGTTTACAAGCATGAAAACTTGCCAATCAACTGTTTTTTAAATTTTGCCCCGAGGGGCGAGTTTATTGGGCAGCGCCACAATCAACTGTTGTTATTGTTATAAACAGCCTCCTGGTGCTTCGGATGTACAGGTTCGTAAGTGTTTGCGTAAGTGCTTCGTGAATCTGGCACCTGGTCACTGCTGCCAGTCACCACGTCAACAGGACAAGTGCCAGAATGTGACTACAAATATATAGGATGCTGCATATTGTCTTCTTCGAGGTCGAGGGTCCCTACAAACGCAACCAGAGTTGTTGTTGTTGTTTTAGATTTAGCTACTCAGAACGAAGTGTCTATGTAGCACGGGCTATGGTGAGCCCGTCCTAAGCAACCAGAGGTGGTACCCCCAATATATATAGGACTAAAGAGGTGGAAACATAGACCACCTTACCTTGAGGTTACCTTGAGGTGCTTCCGGGGCTTAGCGTCCCCGCGGCCCGGTCGTCGACCAGGCCTCCTGGTTGCTGGACCTTGGGGTTTTCCTTGCGTCGATTTCGGGAATCAGCGTGCCCGCGGCCCGGTCTATGCCCATCTACACCATAAGGGGAATATAACTACAGGAATCGGAGAAATGTACCTTACCGTGCCATGATTTCAGGGCTTGGTGTCCCCGCGGCCCGGTCCTCGACCAGGCCTCCTACGCTTACCTAACAGTGTTTACCTAACTGTGTCTAAAGGGGAGTAAGGTCTAGCTCCTTATGCCCCCGCCAACTGGGAGTGGTCGCCACGTGGAAGGAACGGAAAGAAGTTGTGGGAACCTCCTCCATGCACATCTTTAAGGCCAGATCCGACAAAGAATTCAAACGTCCAGAATAGTTAAATTGTAACACAACAGGTGTAACAAGGCTAGAAGGCCTTGTTGCACCTGTACCTCACTCCTCCGTAGACAGTGATAGGCGAGAATCACCTCCACCATCAGTAAGTCCACTACGGGCTCACCATTGCCCGTGCTACTTGGAACTTTGTTCCCAGTAGCTGAATCTTAAACAACTTCATCCACCACTACCATCACCCCCTCACCATCAACTACTACCACATGCACCATCATCAACCACCACCATCCTCCTGCTTTGAGAGTACTTTTTGTAACAATGTGATCGATCGCGCCAATATGCAGTAATTGAGCTCCAATAACCCACTTTTTGTACTATTTCTTATAAAGTTACCACACTTAAATATTCCTAGGCCTACTTTTAGCACATATATGTACTACAATAGGCCTTAGATTATTAGACCTAGGATGATTAGGTTGTGTCTTATTCGCTTGGGGGGGGGGGGAAAATACTTTTTCCGGTTAGTCCAAATTCAGTACAAAGTAAAGTCTACTTTCTGGAGGTCCATCGCGGGATCAGACTTACTTTGAAGTACCTTCATTTTAGCAGAATGGGCTGCGTGGTAGAGCCAGATGAAGAACATCAACACG